AGTCCATCTCGCTGTTTGTTCAGTGTTGGTTCTTAAGCTTCCACTACTCACTACTTTCTTTGGTAGACCGGAATAGAAGACGCGTTAGTATAGTAGTATGAGACTCAATAATTCTTATCATTTAGAATTATTTTACCTTTTTTTTTTTATTAAAGTTAATATTTGTTGCTTTGAAAACAAAATGCTTACTCATAGTCTGAAAAGGTAAAAATAGATGCTCACTACTCTCATCGGTGGAATCGCAGAAGAGAGAACTTGCATCATTCCTAACTCTTAAGACCTACAATTTCAACTACAATCTGACTTGTTTCAAAATAATATTGTCAAGAAACATAATCCCCTAAGGCCTAAACCATGCATGGGTAATAAATTTTGTATTTTAAATAATGTGTTTTCGTGTATAGCATCTTAATTCTTAGATTTGTGATTATATCGCAGACTCACAGTGCCTATCAGAACAACAAAAAGTGCCTTCACGAGTTGTAATTTGTTTCCTCGTTTGGCCAAAATCACATTAGATGTTGCATGTTGAGACCTTGGTGGTGAGTGGTGACTATGGGAGTTTGTTTCAAGACTTTTATCCTTTTCTTTCTTTCCAATTTTTGTGTGTGTGTGTGTATTTCATTAAGCCCGTCTAATTAGTATAAAGGCCCAGTTAAAATACACACAAATTGACCCAGCTAATAGCTTTATTGAACCAACATTAATAATAACTTCTTTTTCTTTTCAGAATACGTTACAAATTAATTATTCAAACACCACATAATTCTTCTTTGTGATGGGCTTAGACTCCTCCTAAATTTATCCTTCGAAATAATTGTAGTCAATTTATTAATTAAATCATTTCATAACTATATTACCATGTTTTTATTTGGCGGCAAGTAAATTACCATTGATGGTCTCTCCATTGACCACTACGTCCGTTACATTTTACAGAGTTCTCATTTCAGCAAGTCCTCAACTACCCTTTGTTCACATTCTACGTCTAGCTTCTTCCACGAGGTTGTGATCGTCTTTTCTAAAATCTGGGGAAATTTAATTAATAGTATTAGCTAATAAAAATTAAGCCACTAACCCTTCCCACCTTTTTTTTCCCTCCTCTTAACTCCCATTTAGTTACTGTCGGAGAGAGATGAAGCTCAAAACTCAAAAGTTACAAAAATTGGCTCTAAGTTTTTTATCAGCCGTCCGATCCGTAAGCCAATGTATAAATTAGCTCCTTTCACGCCACTTGGCATACTGCTCGGTCTTAATTACTATTAGCTCATCATTTTAATACTAAGTTTTTGCTGCTTATTAGATACAAAACGAAATTATAGTAGAAAATTAAAATAAAGAAGACTAGAAATTCATGAGTTTTGTTGCCAAGCTAGTTGTCTTTACAAAAATATATGGATATTTTTCTATAATCGACTTATATTCTTTTGATCGTTCGTAGATATTGTCTTTAGGAAATTGGAGAGGATTTTGGAAAAATATCTATTTGGAAATTTAGTGACTAATAGGTATAGATCCATATAGTAAACAATTAAATATCAATATTTTATAGTGATCAGATTTTCTAGTTTTCTTAGCTCATTGTTTTTAACTTCAAAAGCATAAATAAAATAAAATAAAATAAAAAATTCGTTCAATTTCTTCCTTTTTGACTAAAAAAATCGAGAGCTATAAGGTTAATTTTATTTGTTTAAGAATATATCTGAATTAATGGAATTTAATGGGTCATTCATTAGTTTTAATTTATATAGCAACTGATTAAGTTTTTCTCATATTATTACTAGCTAGCTAAACTCTCTCGCCTTCTTTGTAATTCTCCTCTCCATTCATTAGTTCTAATCTTTTCTTGTTCTTTCTTCCATGGAAGGCCGGCGTCTCGCCCACGGAGCTGCACCACCGTTGACCGCCGTTGAGAGATTCTTATACGGCCAAAAGAATGATGCCTTGTCTTCCAAGAGACAAGAGTCTTCTAGAGACCGACCGATCATGAAGTCGAAAATGTCGATTGAGATTAGAAGCGACAACAAAGAGAACATGACGTTTGCTCCGAGAAAGGAGAAACACTTGGTCCTTAATGGAGGAAACCGAAGCCCTATTGGAGACATGGTCGCTAAAGGTGCAACCAGAGATTATCAAAACAGTACGAAGAAGCGACCGTACAAGAACCTTATCAAAGGGCAATGGACGACAGAAGAAGACAGGTATCTATAGATCTATGTTTATGTAGATTGACTCATGCGTCTATATGAGAGTCTAAATTAAAATTTAGAGATTCGTTTGTGTATATATGTGTAGGAAGTTGATAAGGTTGGTGAGGCAACATGGAGAGAGGAAATGGGCAATGATCTCGGAGAAACTCGAAGGAAGAGCAGGCAAACAATGCCGTGAGAGATGGCATAATCATCTCCGTCCTGATATCAAGGTTTCCCTTCTAGATCTCTCTTTATATATATCATACTTTTGTATAGACCTAGGCTTCTAACGTAAGTAGCTGTGTTTTTGTTGATTTTGTTTACAGAAGGATGGGTGGAGCGAAGAAGAAGAGAAGATTCTTGTGGATGCACACACGAGAATCGGAAACAAGTGGGCAGAAATCGCTAAACTCATATCAGGACGGACCGAGAACTCTATCAAGAACCATTGGAACGCAACCAAACGACGCCAAAACTCGAAACGTAAACACAAACGCCAATCAAACGCGGATAACAATGATAGTGATCCCTCTCCATCAGCTAAAAGGCCATGCATTCTCCAAGACTATATCAGAAGCATCGAGAGTAATGATTTTAACAAGGACGTTGACAAGAACAAGAATGAGAATACGATCAGTGTTCTTTCTACACCAACTCTTGATCAGATCTATTCTGATGGAGATTCTGCATCATCGGTCCTTGGCGATCCATATGATGACGAGCTGATTTACCTGCAAAACATCTTCACAAACCACCCGATTTCTCTTGAGAGTATCGGTCTGACCCAGAGTTCAGATGAGGTAAGCCAATCTTCATCATCTGGGTCCATGATCAATAACCCTAACCCTAACTTTCACAACAATGTTGAAACTCATCATCATGATCAGGCAAAGGTCACACTTCCTGCGAATACACCGCACCTTGCGTCTGATATCTACTTATCTTATTTGTTGAATGGTACCACGTCGTCTTACTCCAACTCTCATTTCCCGTCTTCCTCACTTTCCACGTCATCCACCACCGTAGAGCACGGAGGCTACAACGAGTTTCTTGCGCCTCAAGCTAGCTCTACAAGTGAAAGAAGAGAGATGGATCTGATAGAGATGCTCTCTAGTTCTTTTCAAGGTAGCAACATCTGCTTCCCACAGTTCTAGCTACTCCCACATGATCATGTGATGTTATATGATCATCATTATCAATTTTGATCATTCTCTATCTTTCTCTTCCTTTGTTTAATAATTTATTTTCTTAGAACTTTTTATCCAAGCTGCTTTTCGTTTCAAAATAATTAGGGTTTATGTGCTTTTATAATTTAATTTGTTCTCGAATTTTTCTTCGATTGATAGTTTAATCCTTCATTATTTTTGTTTTTGTTGTTTTCATCTTAAGTTATGTTGTCCAAGTAATTAAATGGTTGTCCAGCTAGAGATTAGTGTGACGAAATTGATTCCCACTTACGTTATGAAATTGGTATTAATGTGAATTTAAGTCCACTAATTAAATTATTTACTCCAAATTTAACCACTTTAACTTTTATTCAAAAAGAGTTGAACAAACTTAAACAAACAAAGGCACAAAAAGTGCATATATCATAATATGTATTTGTAGGTGGAGAAAACATAGGAAAAGTAGATTTTGCTTATAACAATTTCGAACTTAAAATGATAAACATATCCTCAAACATCGAACATATTTACCATAACACCCTTGACTATTAATCACGCAATCACCTCACCACGAGGTTGCAAGTAGACACGTAGCCCGTTCTTCATGAACAACGTCAGCGACATCTTTTGCTCGACTCGATGACCGGGAACCGGAAACAGCTGATAACGGAGGAGTACGGCGGAAGCCACCGACTTCATCTGGAGATAAGCCAAGTCCTTTCCCAAGCAAGTCCTTGGTCCGGCGTTGAACGCCACGAACTTGTAACCGTCTTTGGGAGTCTCGAACCGGTCACCGTCCGCCGTGAGCCACCGTTCTGGTCGGAACTCGAGACAATCTTCGCCCCAAATCGTTTTCATTCGTCCGATCGCGTAAATCGAGTAGGTCACCGTCGAGCCTCGTGGCACGAAAGTCCCATCAGGCAAAACGTCGTCGTCTACAACGTACTTGAAATCCTGTATCATTTGGAACGTTACGTAGAACTTTTACGAATTATTATGAGGAGTGACAAGAAAAACTAAAAAAATAAATGATTATTTTTCGTCAATTTTGCCATGTTCTTTTTGGTAAAAAATAGCTCAAAATTAAGTAAAAGTTAACAAATGTGATTGTAACAGTCGTTTGATACTAGCTAGCTGCCTAATCTGTAATAATCAGTTTAACAGGAAGGAATTAATTAGTCAACTAGCTAGCTAGTTATAAATATTTATTTCCAGGAACTTCTATGCAAGTCAATATACGTATTTAGACATAAATCAATATTTATGTAATAATTAATTATTTCTATGTTAATATTACGTCTTTTATGCAAATATTTTGTTGGCCATATGCGTTATCTATGATGTTTCCATGAACAAAATAAGTAAAATGATTATATGATTATATTTTCACCTGAGGCACGGAAGGGTATAAACGCAGCGTTTCAGCCAAAGCAGCCTTGAGGTAGATGAGCCTATCTGCCTCGTCGAACTCTAACGGCTCCTTCGTCCATTTCTCCTGATCATCGCCACGTGTCTCCTTCAGAACCGTCGATAACTCCTCAACGATCTTCTTCTCTACCTCCGGAGTATTCATGACCAGCCAAAAGAACCAGCTCAAGGCCACAGAGGAAGTATCACGACCCGCGAGAACAAAGTTGAGCGCGATACGTTGAAGAACGTCAGTGGAAAGAACGTTACCGTTAACGTCACGTTTCTTCAAGAAACGCGACAAAAGATCATCGGACGGAGAGTTTTTCCGAGCGTCAATTGCGTCGTTCATGTAAGTCCCAACGATTTCAAGGCTTTTCTTGAGCTTATCCTCCGATCCAATCCCCATCGCTTTCTGAATCCGCCACAAGATACCGGTATAAAGAAGCCTCTTTAGAGTAGCCTCAGTCGCGGTGTCAAAGGCGAGTGAGAACGGATTCTCTGGAAGATCCGGAGATAGGGTCTCGGGGTCTTTCCCAAAAGTCAAACCACAAATGTTGTCAAAAGTTAACCTCAAGAACAAATCTTGAAGATCGACCGGTTTGTTGTCCTTAACCGCCCGGTCTAATATAAGCCATAACCGGTTCTTGATAGTCCCGTTAACCCACCGAGCCATGGCTTGTCTAAGAGTCCTAGTAGTGAACTCAAGCGCTGCAGTCTTACGTTGCATAAGCCACGTATCACCGTCGCTGTTGAAGATTCCTTGTCCTAACAGATCGTGGAAAGCAGCTCGCCACATCGGACCTTTCGGGTAGTTATCGAACCGCGTCTTAAGAATATGCTCGACGTTTTTTGGGTGACACGTAACGGTGTAAAAACCTTGCGTCTTGGCCAAGAAAGGTATCACCATGGTGCTTGTTTGGTACGTACCTCCAGTGGCTCGGAGGTTATCAGCGATCCAATCATGGACTCGGCTCCGGTTCGCGATTAGATACGGTAGGCTTCCGACGATAGGTAAGACTTTGGGACCGGTTAGTCTTCGGGAAAGGAAGTAGAACCAAATAGCGTAAATTGATAGAGCGGCCACGGCGTAGCCGGTTAAGATAGGGTTTAGGACTTCCATTTTTCGGTTTACGCTTTTTGTTTTTGTTGTATGGAGAGATTGGTGAGAGACATATATATGGTGAAGGAGAGGAATACGTTTGTT